AAAGAAATTATCCATTCACTTTATTCCTTCTCCTTCTTACTCAGTCAGCATCTGGGGGTCTGTCTGCCTTCCTGCCCTGTCTTCCTGCATTCTCTATCATTCTTTCATTAATGCCAGGCACCGAATCACATCATGCGGAGAGCACATGCCTTGGCAGTGCGCTCCCTCAGGAATTTACCTTGGCATCATATGAGAAACATTGCCTTTTAATTTGACAGAGTGCGTCGACAGGAGCGGCAGAAAGCAGGAGAGGCAGAACATGAGAAAAGAGGGGAGACAGATGAGAAGAGACAACCCTTCGAAAACCTTTCTTGTACGGAAGAGTTGATGAGGAAGACAGATACATGATAACCTTGGCAGGGAGAATATGAAATGAAGTGTTACTGTAGGATGTTAGAGAAAAAATGCCAGAGAAAAGAGAGCAATGAGGCAGCGTTTGTCACTACGTCCGTCTTCGGCAGAGACAACGAGTCAGCGCTGGCTCAGGGCAGGCTGTTTGTGTGGAGGTCAAGGGTCAGGTGATGGGGCAAAAGGTAGAAGAAAAAGAGAGAGCAGGAGAGAGAGGGGAGGGGGGGAGCCAAAAGGAGTAAGAATGGTTTATTTTCAAATTCAAAGTACTGTTTTTGAAATTGGAACTAAAAAATTAAACTGTTCTCTGAATGTTAAGTAGCGTTTACACAGCGAGGGTTCTCATTTTGTGGACTCGTGTTTACGTGTCTGTGCTCCTGCCATCATCCACGAGGACTGAGACGCCCTCAGAGAATCTCCATCATAACGCTGAGAAGGGAGGAGGGAGAGGGATGAAAGACGGAGGTTTAACAAAAACTGAATTGATGGACGAGAGAGAGAGAGAGAGAGAGCGAGAGAGAGAGAGAGAGAGAGAGGGGGAAAAAGAATAAATGAGCACCCTTCCCTCACTCTCTCCTCGGGGAGCTTATAACCAATGGAAAGGGGTGTGAGGAGGGGTGGGGGTGGGTGGGGGGGTCGTTTCAGAAAAGCTCGGGTTTCTCTGGAATGTGTCTCTCAAACTGCTACTTCAGGCCAACCAGATGAGAGATAACTCATTCCTCATTTAGTGTGTCTGTTGTGTGTGTGTGTGTGTGTGTGTGTGTGTGTGTGTGTGTGTGTGTGTGTGTGTGTGTGTGAACATGGTGGGAATGGAAAGGCTGCGGTGCCAGAAGTCCTGGGACTTTACACTGGCAGCCACCATCATCAGTATCAGACTTAAAAAGGTCTGGGAAAGTCAAAGACAAACCCAGACATCTCAACCAGCCAATCACTTTCCTCCGGGTTAAAGACCCAATTAAAGCTGCCGTCTTTTGATAAGATAATATGATACAGCTAGCTTCTGTTTTCTTGTGGAAAGATCTGTGGTAGAACTATCAGCACTGATAGTGAGAGGGCTTATTTACATTTATTTATAAGTTAAATAAATATTATAGTTAATTTGCCCCCGTGCTGCTACCATTAGACATCTACACTCTAAGAGCACCTGAAAAGTCAGGGAGGGAGGGGCAGAGTCCCCTCTACCGCCTGTCAGTGCACATACAGGCAGCTAAATGGGGTAGAAAGTCTCGCGTCCTGTAATTGGTCATTCAGTCATCACTGTGTCCAAATCCCTCCTTCTGTATGAGACGAGCAACATTCCAGCGGGATTGCACGCTGCTGCAGAGAAAGTGTACCTGTCTGTTGGAAACAGAAAGGGTGGTGAGGAAGATGGATGTGCAGTGCAGGCAGGTGAGCGACCCTGAGTGTAAACGGCTCTAATGGAGAGGTTGGACCCAGGTTGGGCCCAAAATAATGCGACTAAAAAGTCTGTAGCATATGATTTTTTGGGGGTTTTTTTTGTCCAAAATTAGAAAGTTTTTTTATATGTCACTTATATTATGTGCAAAAAAAACATACAATTTTAGAAAACATCAATAAGAGAAGCTACTTATTATCAATAATCCACCGCTGACATGTTATTACGTCACTGATGTCACTAAACTCAGCTTCACCTCTCATTGCCAGATGCCAACAGCATATGATTCAAGGGTTATAAACTTTTTTCTAACTATGGCCATAATAATTACCAAATGACTGGTTATTCGATGTCAGCAAAATCGTATGATATGACCCTATTACTGTCATATTGAATCTCATAATTTTAAACACTGATAAATAATCTTTTATTGTTTTGTAAAAAAAAAAAAAAAAGAAAAAAAAAGGAATTCTTTGGTGTTGTGCATCTATAAAGTCTCAAGTAATAAACCAAAATTACAGGCTATTACTGTCCAAATGAAGTGATAATATGCATGTGGCATTGGGATATTTTTCTAAGATCATAGAGTTAATATACTTTGTCACTCCTGAGCCATGTTAGCAAACAACAAGCAACCTCTGCTGCTTTGACAGCCTGTGATCTTAGCCTGGCCAGTTGGATTTCTCTGTACGCTGCAGCTGAAGCCCCTGATCGAATGGCCAGTGCCACCTAGCCACAGCAGTCCAGACTACAAGTACACATGCCAAGTCTCAGCTAACCCCATCCGGAGAGGAGAGGTATGAGCAGCTGCATCCTTCTTTCCTTGCTGTCTGTGCTAACGCTGGCTCACGGCCATTATGGCACATACCGAAGACAGAGGGCAAAGAAAACGCCTCTGCATTAACATCAGGTTGCCAGAGCTACAGCCAGAGATCTGTGGCTCTTTGAATCTGTATATATGTACTCATACATGCCGCATCTCACGGATTAAGACTATTGAGAGACGGGAAGTGTGTGGTATACAAGTTAAAGATGGTCGACAGCCCCACCTCCCCGTTTCCTCGCTTCTTATTCACATAAATAAAGGTAAGAAAGGCCTCTTCTGTTTTCAGAGCCTCTGTAGTTTCAAATGAATCATCTCTTCCAAATGTTTGCCTAATGATCGCATGTCTGCACTTGCTCTTTTCCAACACATCATCACAGACAGTCTGTGGTTATGGGGTCACGGGCCAGTGTGCGCTCTCGATTCGGAGCTACTGTGGGGTTTTTTATTACACACATTATAGTCATAACAGAATAGGGCTTTGTTTACATGCCTTTGTTTTTTTTTTTTTTCATTTTTTTCTACGTGTGATATTTCTTTTTTCCACCTTTAGGAGGCAGTCTGCTGTGCTGATCATTTCTGAACCTCCAGGCTTCGGGCCAAAGTCATAACTCAGTAGCAAACTTAGTTAAGGGGTGGGGTGGGGGAGATGGATAAAATGATCTCACAAGTTCAGCTGCCTTCTGGAATATATTAGCTGTACATTCTCCTAATGTTGAGGTGAGAGAGGGACCACATCACACATACTTATACAAGCATTTTAAAGGCCTTCAAGCCACAGGCAGCTACTTATTCTCTTTGCACCTTAAAGAGTACGTGGTGCCTGTTATGAACTCAGCCAAGTCGGTTTGTTTTATGTAGACTGTTATTTCGGATGATCCGCAGTAGCGTGTGTGTAATTAAAGAACGCGTGTCCAAAACAGAGACTCTCGTGGGCACCGCTGTCACACAGCTTCAAAGTGAGCAGTATTTGTTTGATTGGAGAGCATGATAGGGCATGCAGAGCCACAGGAGCCCTGTGGCTGCTGCTTTAAGCCCCAAAGAAGAGCCATGACATGGATCAAAGGTCCACTAAGGCCAGTGCAACGTCTGAGAGGACCATGAATGGGGCTGTCATCCAATCTAAGCACTGAGGAAGATTAGCTCACAGGAAGGGTTATTATTTCTCTCTCTTTTCTGCATCTAGACCACATCACTGTTTGTTTGGTTTTTTTCTTTTTTTGCTTTTTAAGCTGCAGAGAGACCAATCACAAATGTAGAAATTGGTTGTCTAGGTCACAGAGTTATGGTTTTAAATTTCCGTACTGCATGAGGTAAAAAAAAGGAGTACATAGAGACGGGGAGCTTAGTGTGTCTCAGAAGACCGAGTTTAGACGAAATAGAAAGAGAGAGAGAGCGCTGTGAGGCGGCAGCAGTCTAGAAGAAATGATAGAGGGAAAAATTATGGCGCTTGAGGGAAAATAAAGAGAGAAGGAGGGAGAGGAGATGAGAGAGAGGAAAGTGCGACTGCAGCACACACCATAGAGCAGTAACCCAGAGCCACGTCAGCACAATAGAACAAGGCAAAAGTGGAACCCCAGACCTCCCCTCCCCTCCAACCACCGCTATCTTCACTGCTTTTCCACTGTTCAGCCCCTCCTACTACATCACACATTACAGGGCTGCACTTCTGATTCATCTGCTGTGTGTGTTAGCATGCATTATCTTTAGTTTTTTTTCAACAGGGCTAACTCAGTTGCTTCTTTACAAGAACAGGGCTGACAGTAAAAGTATATATATATATATGTGTGTGTGTGTTTCAGTGAGGGGTAAACAGGGGAGTGAAAGATGAGACACATGCAGGGGTCGGCATGCCCTGCCTTAAAATCCCATAAACTAAAGGTAGAGTTGACATAAACAATCAAGTTATGGGGGCTAATAAAACTTCTACCTGGAGGGGTGGGGGAAAGGGAAAGGAATTGACTTAGGTGGGAAAAAATGCAAATTGCTTTCCAGCCATGTTTAAAAGTTTTACCTCCAGTTTACTACGATGTGGAGCACAAGGCCATAAAGCTGACCAGATGGCAAGAGACATACTTGTGAGATAAGTTAAAGATCTTGGAAAAGCCACAACATCTGTCACAGCATAGAAATATGAAGTTAAAATTGGACTTGAATGGGCCTCGAGGCTTTTGCACTGCTTCATTTTGACGTCCAAAGAGAAACGTTAAAAAGAAAAAGGGGGGGGTGTTAGTACTTGGAGGTGGAGAGATACAGTGTGTCGGGTCAGATACTCACCTGGATACAGCTGTTTGGTGGGGGCGCTGAGCTGGGCGTCTTTGGATACTCTGTAAGCCACGTCGGGTCCTTGTGTTGACCTCCGATGTGAGCAGAAACCCGTTGTTTTTGTAACACCCTCAGGTAAACTGTGAAAATCTAAAATCTTCAAGAGGTCTGCTGGTTCCGCTACGGAGAGAAAAAAAAGAGACACATAAAAGAAAAGAAAAAAAGGAGGTTAGATTTTTTTAAATGGATTGAAATAGCACATATATAAATATTGTTTATACAAAGCATATATAGATACGGCCCAGTCCACTATTTCTGCATATTAAATAAGCCTTAATTATGGCCAATTCTTTTTACCATTCCCTCTATTTTCTGTCTTCTGCTGACTCAGAAGCAGTAGTTACTCAGCAGGAAACTTACTGTTGTGGCTCAGAGAAGATTTCTGTTATCCATTTAGGCACCAAACAGAGATGTGCCCGTTTATAGATCGCCATGATCATGGGTTACAGCTGCAGCAAAAACCCATTCTTCCATCCATCTCCCTGCGATGCTAAATCTACCGCTGCCTCCCCTCGGCCACAACCGTGCAATTAGCACACTTTCAGGCCGGTCGCCCCGGCTGTAATCAGGCCACCACAGAAGTACACTGGGTCAGGACAACGTGACATGGGGTTTGACCCTGGACCGCACCCTCGCATGCCAAAACCACCCAGGACAAACAGCTGTTCCTGCAGCCAGATGCACACATAACAAGCTCTCACAATGAGACACATTAGCATCCAGAAAAAGGACGCTGGGTCGCGTCTATAGGGACAGTCACATAAGGACAGTGGGTGTCAGGGTGTTTTAGAGGAGGACAAACACTGAAGTGGGGAAGCAAACTAAACAGAGGACGACAGGAGGATTTTATGGCACCAGAGTTTAAGAACTCTAAGACTAAGACAATAGCAAGCATGCTGCGGTATTCTCCTGAGCGCATTTTTGTGTTGTTATGTGAATGTGGAGCGTCAAAGGCAAACCCTCGGCCAAGTATAAAAGCCTGCGCACACACCCACACACAGGTACAGCAGCCCTAGTGTCATAGTCATAAAGACCACACACAACGTTCAATAGCCCCATCCGTCTGAGAGTGAAAGGGCTGCTGGGAAAAAGCGGAAAGGCGACTGGGCAGAGCAAAAAAAAAAAAAAAAAAAGTGTTTGTACATTCTGCATTGCCCTGCAACAACCTGCAGCTGGATGTGATTACACATGAGTCACGTGCAGCACAGATCAATTTAAAAAAAAAAAAAAATCATTCTTAAACAGAGGTTTCCTTTAAGAGCATTTTGGCTGCACGTGTTCCTCCACAGCTGTGCAGGGATTGTGGGAAAAAAAGAGAAAAAAAAACTTCCTCCTCCTCAGCTGAAGTCTGCTTGAATGTCTCATACATTATCGTTCAATCAAAAAGACAAACAGTCAGCTAATGAAAGTTTACTGGGGGGATTTAAAAGAAGATCTGCTTAAAACTAACAAACCATCTGCCTGACAACAACCAAGAAACACAATCTCTAAAACAACAACGTTTTACAGCGCAGACATCAGGCATGGAGTAACTTCACGCCATCGCTCAACAAATGAAGACATAAACACACTTTATAACAGTTTATACCTGTCTAGACAATTTCAAGTAGAAAATACGGGATGCGAGTTTGATAAATGTGGTGATTTCCAAGTCGGGATGTTCTCATCTCACGTCAGTCTTTCTATCTCTCTCCTCCTTGAGCCAGCTGCCTCTTCTTGTTCATGGAGAAAGTTTATTATCCAATCCTTAACTCTGTCATCATTTTTCTACAAATGTGAATCAGCAGAATGTGACATCGCTTTGGGGGCATATCAAAGCAGAGGCAGGGGGGATTTATAACAGCAGTTCATTTCAGAGAATACACTAATCCGAGCACCACACCCAAGTGTTTCTAAAGCCACTACATAGATAAATAGTCATATTCCTAGAAGTGCATACCACAGGATGACAGAGCCTCTAAGCAGGTGAAGGGCCTAAATAAAAAGACAGCTTTGTCTGTCATCAACTCATAATGAAGACACAGACAGAAACTCAGCCACCGGCCAGAAAACGTCCATCATTCACCATGATGACAGAGGTTCGTTTAATGAGCCTGTCAGTGGGAGCTCAGCGACAGCAGAATAACTGTCAGTGATGGGAAAGTTCATACAAATGCCCTGATTAGTCGGCCATTAATCAAAATGGCAGATCAGTCGTTATCATTTATTGGTCTACAAGAGGGAGATTGTAAGACAAGGTCACAACCGAGTATAAGGCTAAACGATTTGTGGTCAGCGTGCAACACTGAGCGGCTAGATGACATAATGTGCTGATTAGCATATTTGTGAGGTTATCTCGTCATATCTGCATTATGCCTGGTGTCAGCTGGTTTCACGCCATTTATCCGTTCGCTTCTCTCCTACTTCCTGTGCTCACGTATACAGTATTCTAATAGTCGAATTCACAATATAAGCTGTTCTCGTTTACATTTTTTTTCCCGTTTCTGTTGTCACGACAACGGAACAAGTACGAAATAGTGACTGGAACGTGGCTCATTAAGACATGATATGTTAGATATGTTAACCAGCACTCGCTTCCAATTCTGCTGCTGCTAAAATCCTCAACAATCCGACCGTCTTCAACAGAAAAATGCTAATGTTTATCCAAAAAGTTGCTAGGTTTTGCCGCTAGGTGCTTTGTTGAAAAAAATTCACACTGGTTGCACTGGTTGCTTAGGAACTGAGGCATTCAGGGGCATGAATGCCTCCAATAAACTTCTGAAAAGTTTAGTAAATGTTTATGATTCACACTCAGCAGCATGATGCATGAAGCTGAAGGCACTGAAGCACAGGGACTCTACAGCATATGAGCTGTAGCACTGCTTCACGCATCAAACCTGCGACAGACCGTAAACTGCTTCTAGAAACTGTTTCTAACTGTCTAGGAAAACTTCTCTGAAGTATATTGTAGGACCCTGAACACCTCTGTTGTTTCTGTCAAACTGATGTTGGGTCAGAGATATGGAAGAACTATTAGGAAATCATCTGTAGTTATTCTCATAAATTGGGGTGTAAAGTCTCTTTAGAAAATTATGCTGTTCAGAAACAACAGCTAAATCTTTCTATTCACTCCACTCTTGCAGTCTAGAAATTGCTACGTGTAGTTTAAAGGTTTCTTTACCGTCTGTATCAGCATCTGTATTTGTTTCAGAAATTTTCAAAATGAGCAAAACAATCCAGCTGGATCTTCCCTAAACTCCCAATCAGTTTCTGTGGGATAGACACAGGGAGCTGCTGTCTCTCAGCCACTAATATAACTGCAGTTAATAACACATAAAAGTGACACAGCAAGAATTTTCATTTATTACCATTTTTAACAAGGGCCATGGTTAACTGAAGGCAAAACTCACCGTCCTCTGCCTTTTTCTGCCCCAGACAACCACAAATGTTCCCTGTAAAATCCACAACAGTCTGCTTTGACACTACAGTAATTCCCTCTAACCTGCCAACATCCTGCAGCACATTATCCCAGGGGCTATAGATCAATTGATCACTGACAGTTGCACAGAAGCAGCCCATACAAGGACTGGAATGGGCATAACTGTCCTACTGTTAAAACAGGGGCCACTGTATAAATGATGGAGCTTGCATGAGGGGTCAGATTAAACGCAAGCTACAGTATTAAAGTCGTCTACTACTACGTTCATTAGGAGTTTGTCTGAGATTCTCAGACTGTTGTAACCAACCAGTCGTAGCATCCCATTTTCCATCTCCTCTTAATTCATCTTTGTCTAGCCTCTTCCTACCGTACAGTCACTCCAGCACCTTATATGGACATGCCCTGCTGCTAGGCACTGTGCCGATGACAGGTACAAACACACACTTCAAATCTTACCTCATAGAATCAAGCTAATAAAAATCATATCCCTCCTTGTTATACTCATATAGAGATAATCCCGCAAACATGTCTTCAAACCAGAATGTGTAAACACACACACACAAACAAACTACCTCCACTTATCCAACAAGCCACAGCCATTTTATTAGTTTACAGGTGACAACAACACAGACACAGCGATGAATCATTCGAAGAAGTTCCTCTGGGCTACCAGCAGCCTACACTCACCATGCATCATAACAATATGGATGTCATAACAGCAATAACAACATCATAATAACAGCCCTCCCAGAACCGCAAGGGAAGAGGAAAAAGTGGGGGAAGTCTGTAAGGATCATCCAATCGATGCTAACCGTGTCACGACCCTTGATGCAGAGTGTTGCTTTTGCTAATCCACAATGACACAAACTAATCCCATGAATTTCAGCAGCTTTTCTTTTTTGTTCTGGGAAGGAAACAATTGTCATCAGGATTCCCCCTCATCCCTTACACTCTTTCCCTCCATCAATCAGTCTGTTCCACTTTCTCATTTCTGCGTATGTTACTCATTCTTTTTTTCATCCAACTTTTTCATTCAAGGATCTCAAAGCGACTGCGGGGCCTCTTCTTGGCTTACCTGGAGGTGAGCCAGGTGCAGAGGTGCCAATTAGCAGCTGACAGGAAAAGAGGTGGAAGGTGAAGGGATAGCAACAACTACAAAACCACAGATCGATGGAAAACCAATCTGAGAAAACAGCTTTTCCAATAAAGCGATGATTCAGCTAATGCAAAGAGCAAAAAAAAAAAAAGGCAGTAAGACGAGCAGTTCAGAGAGTTACAAACGCAAACATTATCAACTCTCTTTCCCTCCCTCTTCAACATATTCTCACACACCTTCATTCATGGATTTCTGTCACCGGCACTCGACCTTCCAGCGGAAGTCCGTCCTGACCACATCCTAAGCCGCATGTATTGGGTCTACGTCCCACCTTGTTAAGCTGAGATGTTTACCCACTTAACATGGCGGTTCCCTCGAGAGACCAACACCTCTGGCACAAGATGCTAAAAATACTTTTCCCTCTGACCACAGCCCCTCACATCCTCGAGGCAGGTTCCCCCACACATACACAGAAACTGTTTATATGACACGGTCTTGTGTACATTTGCGCACCGCCGGCACTGCCGCCCGTCCTCTGCTGCTTTCACCGCTTTCATGCAGCGGAACATGACACAAAAAAAGCAAACACAGTAAATACAGAGCATC